TCAGCTCTTTGAAAGAGCTACCAATAGTCACACTCCTCCACACTTACCCCATAGCCCTGAAATGTTTTCCCTTTTAAGTACTTATTTTGAAAGCTATCATCGAATCTGCTTCCACCACCCTTTCAGGCAGTGCATTCCAGACCGTAACTACACTGAGTTAAAATTCTCCTCATCTCCCTCTGGTTCTTTTGCAAATTATCTTAAATCATTGTCCTCTGGTTAGACCGACCTACTAGAGGAAATAGTTTCTCCCTATCTACTCTATCAAAATCCCTCATAATTTTGGACACCTCTATTAAATCTAAGACCTGGCTGCTTCAAATCTGTGACAGACTATCTGTCATATCAGCCACATGATATTAGCAATAGATGTTTTGCAAAGTGCTTCTCACTTCTTTATAGCATTCATTTCAAACAAAATCGAATCACTGGGTAACAAATTCCTGTACTTTTGTTGCGGTAAAAAGATTAAAATAAAATGAAGACAAATCATAAGCATTATTGCATTTCTCTATTTACCAATCTGTTGAACTATTAAAAACATGGTGGGTACAAGTAGCCTCTGAGCCTCTGAGTTAGAAGATTGTTGATTCAATCTCCAGCGTTGGGACTTTGAAGTCATAGTCTACATTGACAGTGCAGTACTTGGGGGTGTTGCAATGTTGGATGTGCTGTTCTTCGGATGAGATGTTAAACCAAGTGCTGTTAAACATCCCATGGCACTATTCAAAAAGAGAAGGGAGTTTATCTCAGTGTCTTGCACCCCACCCCATGCCTCGTGACATGCCTGTTCTTAGCCATAAGAAAACAATGGATATACTAATGCTCAAATAAGGATAGGTGTTCAAATGACAATTGTCATTTCCAATAAGATGTAGAAACTACACAGCATAATTGTTGAATTTTGCCTTTAATTTACGATTAAGCACTCACAGTAAAAATCCTGTGAAGCGCTTTGAGATGTCTCGATGATGTAAAACCTGCGTATTACTAATGTGGAGTCCTGTAGTTTAGTGGTTAGAGCTCTCACCCCGCAAGCGAGAGAATCTGTATTCGATTCCCGGGCAGGGTGAAACATTGAGCAAGTTTCTTTACTCCACATGCCTCTGTTTACGTAGCAATAAGTAGAAACCCAGTTATTAGTCGATTGGCGGATTCTTTTTCCGGGTGTAATAATTCATTCAAAATAAATAAAAAATCACTCAATCCACGACCGTTTGTGTGCAATTGCCTACTATGTTTCGCCGTCAAAATATACAGTCAATTTAGTTTACAGTATATTCTATGAAACGGTTTGAGATGTCTTGAAGGAGCTATATTAAATGCAAATATTATTCTTACAAACAAAAAGTTAAACTAAATAAACACTTCAGGAACACAAAATAAAAATAAATAATAATCCTTGCATTTGATATAGCGCCTTATTATATTGTAGAGACGTCTCAAAGCCCTTCACAGAATATTCTGTAAAGTGAATTGCATATGAGATTCTAACGTGTTCTGACAACTCACTACCAGCATTTCAACTCACCAGAGCTCTGGTCCATTGGTGGGAAAATAGAGAGAAAGAAAGCAGGAATGAAGTATCCAGGGGCAGGAATCACTAGAAATTCAAACACATTTGTAGCCCAAAGTCCACCAATACCAGCTCCAAAATAATAATAATAATCCTTGCCTTTGATATGACGCCTTATCACATCTTCGAGAGGTTTCAAAGCGCTTCACAGAATATACTGTAAACAGCAGCTGCAGCAACTTGCATTTCTATAGCACCCTCCAAGCAGGGTAGCGTCTCAGAGTGCTTAAGACAACAATAATATTCCTTGCATCTGATACAACAACAACAACTTGGATTTATGTAGCACCCTCCATGCTGGACGGCATCTCAGAGCATTTCACAGTAATGGATCCCGGGGCCGAGCCTGGGGGATGGGGAGGAAGGTGACCAAAGGTGCGGTCGAAAAGAAAGGTCTTCAGCAGAGACCTGAAAATAGGAAGAAAGGGGGCGAGGCAAAGAGAGTGAGGAAGGGAGTTCCAGAGCCTCGGGGCATAGTGGCTGAAGGCACAGCCACCGAGGGTGGAGCGGAGGACTGGGGGACGAGGAAAAGGCCAGACCCGGAGGAACGTAGGCAGTGGGTACTGTTTTGAGGAGTGAGTAGGTCAGAGAGGTCGGGGGTTGCAGAGGAGTGGAGGGATTTGAATACGAGGGTGAGGATCTTGAAATTGATCCTCTCTGGGATAGGCAGCAGTGCAGTCTGGCCAGGACTGGGGTGATCGGGGAGTGGAGTTTGGTGCAGGTGAGAATGTGGGCGCAGAGTTTTGAATGATCTGAATTTTATGGATGGTAGTGGATGGGAGACCGGCGAGGAGGGCATTAGAATAGTCCAGCCGAGAGGTGACAAAGGCATGAACCAGGGTTTCAGCGGCTTTTGGGGAGAGGTATTGGCGGAGATGGGCGATGCGTCGGAGGAGGAAGAATGCGGTGCTGGTGAGGGACCGGATGTGGGGGAGGAAAGATAATTGGGATCGAACCTGACACCTAGGTTGCGTATGGGTTCGGTGAGTTTTAGGGGGAAGTCGGGTAGGTGGAGGAGGTGAGAGCCGTGAGATTTTAGACATTGACGAGAGCTAAAGAGTATGGCTTCTGTCTTGTGAACGTTCAGCTGAAGGAAATTTGCGTTCATCCAGCCCCTGAGATCTGATAGGCAGCTGACAGAATATCAGGGGACCTGGGGGTCGCAACGAGAAGTGGAAAAATAGAGTTGGGTGTCGTCCTCAAGAGGGAGGATGTACATCAGAAAGAGGAGGGGGCCAAGGATGGATCCTTGGGGTACCCTGCAGGCAACCAGGTGAGAGCGAGAGGAGAAGCCGTTTGTGCAGATGTACTGCTGCCGGTTTGAGAGGTAGGACTCGAACCAGGCGAGTGCGGTCCCATTGAGGTGGATGACGGAGGAAAGGCAGTGGAGGAGGATGGCATGATCGACTGTGTCAAACGCGGAGAGGTCCAGGAGGACAAGGAGGCAGAGGGAGCCCTGGTCACAGATAGAGAGGATGTTGTTTGTGACTTTCACAAGCGCAGTCTCTGTACTGTGGGCAGGGCAGAAACTGAATTGGAGGGGTTCGAAGAGGGAGTGGGAGGAGAGGTGTGAGCGAAGTTGATTGGCAACAACGCATTCGAAGACTTTTGCGAGGAGGGGCGGGTTAGAAATGGGGCGGTAGCGGCTGGGGTTTGAGGGATCTAGGGAATGTTTTTTGAGGAGGGGTTGATGACAGCAGTTTTGAAGGGGGAAGGGACTAATCCGGAGGAGAGGGACTGATTGATGACATCAGCCAGTAGTGGGCAGAGGAGGGGGAGCTGGGTGACCAACAAGTTGGTGGGAAGGGGGTCGAGGCAGCAGGTGGTGGGTTTCATGGAGGTGATGGTGGGTGAGAGGGAGGAGGGAGAGAGGGAAGGAGGGAGGGGAAGGGAGGGAGGGAGAGAGACAGAGGGAGAGAGAGAGAGGGAGAGGGAGTGGGAGGAAGAGAGAGAGACAAGACAGAGGGAGAGAGGAAGGCTGAATGGAGGGGTGAGAGAGGGAGATGAAGGCAGAGGGTCGAGAGAGATAATAAATAATAATAATCCTTGCACTTGACACAACGCCCTTCACGTCTTCGAGACGTGTCAAAGCACCCCACAGAATACACTGCAATGTGGAGTGACCATATATTTTCTGGGCGGAACGCGGCAGCCAATGGGCCACAGCGACGCCCCACAAACAGTCATGGACTGAAGAGACCAATTTTATTATTGTTTTTTTTGCTTGAGGGATTATTAGGCGTGTGGAGTAAGGAAACTTGCCCAAGGTTTTGCCCTGCCTGGAATCGAACCCAGGTCTCTCACTCGCGAGGCGAGATGCTCTAACCACTGAGATGGAGGGGGAAGAGAGGGGAGAGGAAGGGAGAGAGAGGGAGAGAGGGGAAATGAGTCAATCGATTGCCTCCAGACGGATGCAGTTGGTGTTTTCAGAATGTCGGACAGCAATTCCGTATCGGAGGAGAGAGCTTCCACGTAAGGAGGCCAGAATGAATTGTCCACCGTGGGACGTCTTTAAGGTCTGGGACATGAGGAGCTCCAAAATATCGTGGAACATCTGAAGTGGGGCTTAAGGTGGGGGTTCAGTTCTACTCTCCAGCTTTGAACAGTTTCTGCTGTTTGCCCCCCCCCCCCCCCAAGCTGGGGCGGAGGGTAACGTTCTTCCAGGAAGTTGCCGAGCAATCGTTCCTTCTTCCTCGTCAGCTTCCTCATGTCTGTCTTGCTGTGTTTCCTCAGCAGGGAGCTGCTCTTGCTGACGGTGTGTAACGATCGCTCGCTGTCTCCTCACACAGCCGCGACTCCAACTCCATCTCCTCCCTCGGCCACCGCTCCCTCCTCCTCCGGCTGGTTCTGAGGCGATTTCTTCTTGCTCCTCACACACAACGGAGTTTGCTGCAACTCTACAGCCATCGTCTGGAACTGTTCCTTTGCCAGAACCACCAACACCTGATTATTAGGAGGTAAAGAGGGTTATTATTATCAAGTGAAGTGAATATATTTTGTGGGTGAATGGCCCGATATTGCTTTGTGGCCTCCTATGGATACCAGAGCGGCCAATTTAGGTTTAGAGCCTTTGAAACTGTTAAGAAAAGGTCTTCAAAAAGGAGGGCGGGGAGGGGGGCTGCAGGTTTAGATATATATTTTAAAATTAGGCGCCAACCCCACACAACAAACAAAACCCGCCTCATTTGGGCGTGAAACCCGCCCAATCTGCGAGCAGAGTGGCCACACATTCGGTTCAGGGCTTTTGAAACTGGGTAAGAAAAGAATCTTACATAAAAAAGGACTTTCGTGGGTTTCAATTANTTTTAAATATAAATAAGACACTCGCCCAAAGGCGCGTCCACGCACAGTTTCAGCTTAAAAACACGCCCAATTTGGGCGGGAACCCGCCCAATCTGACAAAGTTGCTCCAGGGGCTGTGGCGGGTGGCGGGTGGGGGAGGAGGGCGCGTGGCGCCCGTGGCAGTTGGAGCGCGAGGGGTTTGTTAGCGCGCGAAGCGCCGCGTCCTTCTGTCACGTGCGTCGTCCGTTGGTGTCTTTGCCTCTCCCCCGCGCGGCATGGCTCAGCTTCAAAACATGGCGGTGATCCGGCCACAGGTACCTGTTTCTCCGAGGATTGTACTTGCATTGAACGATTTATGTCCTGTTGTGATCAGTCACACACTTTGTATAGTTATATATAATGAGATCTGACCCCCTGTGCAGGCGGCTGGATAGCATTTTACTTCAAACTTTGCCATTGACCGCCCTCCCCCCCCCCCCCCTCCCAGAAAAAACCCCAATGAAGTTGAGCTTCAGTTGGATTGACGAAGCTGCTTTTTTTTTTGAAGAAGCTGCTTATACCCCTGGCCTGCCATGACTAGGTCAGGAGCTAAAAAAAATTATGACTTTTTTAAAACTTTTATCATCGTCAAGAAATTGTTTCGGGTTGTGTGATCCATTTGTCTCTGTTGGTTGTCAGAGCTCAGGTTTGCTGAACTGTCAACCAGATATGTTCCATGTTAATTTCCAGTTACATCAGGTTTTCTCTTCAGTTTCAAATAATCTCAAGCAGAATCTGTCAATGTATCAGTGTCTGGGTTTGGACTATCTGCGGAAAGTCCACCTTCTGTCAGATCTTGTATAGCAGTGCTTTCTCTCCAATAAAATGATTGAACCACCAGATTCGTGTCCACAGACCTAATGGCAATGGCCATCTTCCTAGAACTCGAGAGAGTATTTTTAGCGTCTTCTTTTTTGACGTCTGTTCAGTCGAATATGCTCTAACAGTGGTTTCTGAATCTTGAGAAGATAAATTAGCTCTGGATGGGATCTTAGAAAGTGGTGACATTTTCGTTGATACTGTATTTCCGTTGAGAGTGTTTTGCTGCAGTCTCCTGTCTCTATCTGACATTAGTTGAGAAAGTCTCACACAAGGGCTGGAAAGCCCATCGTCAATAATTTTGGACCTAAAAAAGCTTTCTGGCTTGCAACTTAACCAGCACTTGCTGCTCAGTTAGATAGACAGTTATTTTTGCCATCACCAGCATTTTGTTAGCAGATATGCCACCAGATAAATCTTTGCATATTTTAAACCGGTAATCATCACAATACTGTTGTGGGAAATGATGTTATGGTTGGCAGGCAGATTAACTATTGCTAGGAACCCATCAAGATCCAGTGCTGTCTGAGTTTTATATTCATTGTTCTTATTTTGACGATTGCTTGGAAGTCAGTTTCTTCTGTCAGCTTGGTTCAGTGGTAGCACTTCATGACTCTGAGTCAGAAGGTTGTGGGTTCAAGCCCCATGACTGGACTTGGAATCACATAGTCTAAAAGCTGACACTCCATTGCAGTGCTGGGGCACGATGGCGGTGTCGACCTTCGCATGAGATGTTGAATCGAGGTCCTGTGTGTCTGTTCAGGAAGATGTTAAAGATCCCATAGCACTTTTCAAAAAGAGAAGGTTTTTTTCCCTGGTGTTCCCGCCAACAATCCTTCAAATAAAATTGTTGGCTCACTCTATGGCTATTTGTGCGACATTACTGTATTCAAACTAGTTGCCAAGTTTCACCTATAAAACCACTTTGCAAAGTATCCTGTGAAGCCTTTGAAACATCTTGACAATATGATTAGGTGCTACATCAAATACAAGGATTATTATTGTCGTTATTATTAATAATAAATTGCTTGCAAATCCCAAGACGATTATACAGTTTCTTCTAGCAACTAAAATTTCTTCAGAATCATTTATGTTTTTTTGAACAAACATTGAATGAGTGCACAGCATCTGATTTAAGTTATATTATGTTTAATATAAAGTCTTATTAAATTATCTGACAAAATTACAATTTTTTTTTGTAGATGACCAAAGCACAGGAGGAGCATGAAGATATTGTAAAAATACTTGATGATATGTGCTTGCAATTGAAAAAAATGTTAAATGATATGGAGATACAGTCAGGTGCAGTTTGTTGCTGTTGATGATTGGATGTTAAGATTTTACTTTCAAATGGGTTACAGGAGAATAATGTAGAAATAAAATAGAAATGGAAAGATGCACCATCTTGTGGGCTGTTCCTCAGGGCTCTGTCCTTGGTCCCTCCCCTCTAATATCTATATGTTCCCCCTTGGTGACATCATCTGCAGACATGGGGTCAAATCCCTAACGTATGCGGATGACACCCAACTCTATTCTCTCTGCCTCCACCTTAGACTCCAGGACCACTGCTGTCCTGACAGAATGTCTGTCAGACATCAGGTCCTGGATGAGAGAGAACTTTCTACAGTTGAATGTCAACAAGACCGAGGCCCTCCTAATTGGCTCCCGTCAGCGCCTCCACACCTCAGGCACTGACCGCATCACCATCCAACGATGCACATTCCACCTCACTGAGCCAGTCCGGAACCTTGGCATCTTGTTTGACTCTCAACTATCCTTTCTATCCCACATTGGTGCCATGACCCGCTCTGCCTTCCTCCACTTCTGCAACATCTCCCGGCTCCGCCACTGTCACACACCGCAGGCCACTGAGACCCTCATACATGCATTCATAACATCCAGGCTTGTCTATGCTTGTCAGCCTATGCTTGACTATCCCTGCTTGTTGGCCTCCCCAACTCCTCCTCCAACAGACTGTAGATCATCCAGAACTCTGCAGCCCGTGTCCTCTCCCGCACCAGGCTCCGAATCCCTATCACCCTCATCCTCGCCCGACTCCACTGGCTTCCCATCACACAGAGGATACAGTTCAGATTCTGGTCCTCACCTTTGAAGCCTCCATGGCCTTGCTCCACCCTACGTCTGCGACCTCCTAACCCCCTACCAACCTGCCTGCTCCCTCCGCTCAGTGGGCTCCGGCCTGCTTCACATTCTCCGCCTCGCCCGCCCCAACTGCCTCATCATTGGAGGGCGGGCCTTCAGCCACTCTGCCCCCACCCTCTGGAACTCCATCCTGCAGTCCCTCCATCTCGCCCCCTCCCATGGCTCCTTCAAGACCCGTCTCAAGATCGTGCCTTTGATCACCCTCCTTCCCCCTCTGCCTTCCACCCACCCCAATACCGACTCCCGGCTTGGATCCGAAACACTGATTGTCCAGCACCTTGGGCCATCCTCCCAAAATAAAAGGGGTTATACAAATGTAATTTTGTTGTTTATAGAATTTGAGAATCAAGAACGGAATCAAGATGAAGCTTCATTGTGTATTCTACTAATTAAGGTATTTATTTGTTAAATTGTTCTAGTGCAAGCAACTTGTATGTCGTATGACATGGTTCTCATCCGTACAGACCCCTGTGTGGTGGAATCATTGAGCCAACTGAACAACGCATATCTGCACTGCAAAGAAACAGTGGAAAAAGACTGCTATGAAATATTGACCAAAGTTATAAAAAATTAGCTGCAAACACAAATAATTTGAAATCAGAACATTTAGTTAGATGTTTAAAAGTTTAGGCTAACTGATGTGTAGCTTTATTGTTTGTTGAATTGTTCTGTGTCTGCCCTCTTTTAACAATTGTGAATTTAGTGAATTTAGTTGTAATGATTGGATGCTTCTGGAACATTTCTCAAATTTCTGTATTAACATTAAAAGCAGGAATTTTCTGATGCTTGTTTCTTCATCCTTTTACAATATAGTAATTAGTACAATACAGTGAAATAAGTTTAGAAAATGTGAAAAGTGTCTAAAACTATATGAAAGTGATTACAGGCCCTAAATAGTTTGGACTGAGGCATTACCAAACATCACAATTACACACTTCTATATTACACATCAAACTATCCTTGGAATGACAAACAAACTGTTAACTAAATAACCCACAGCTAACCCTAAAATTATCAATTGCAGAACCCTAAACTTGCAGTACATTACATACTTTTTTTAGGAACAGTTAATTGTAGCCTTTTATAAAATTCTGTTATATGCTTCATGTAAACTAATTCAGATATATTATTAAGACAATAACATTGCTGGCATTGAACTGTTGTAGATTAGCTTCATTGCTACATTGTGCACTGGATCTTTACCTAGGAAACCCAAGTTGAAACACACTTAACTATTGTTTATACTCAGGCACCGTTGTTTAATTTGGGAATGCATTGCTGAAGACGGACAAAATCTGTTTGGAAGAGGAATTCTTTCTGTTTCCATTATTTAAGTATTTCTTACTGCAGGTTAACATTGCAGATAAATCAATAACTCCTAATGTGTGTGTGTGTGTGTATATGTCACTGTGGCTTCCTACTTTAAAGTTACTGTATCTCATTGAATAGCTTTGAATCTTTACTATTTCATAACAAAATGTGAACCTCATAATCTCATTGACGTACTTATTTGGATGTCTCCTTTGGTATTCGTGACTACACAATTTATTTTATTCTTAGTATCTAGAATGTAACTTTAGTTCAAAGAATTGTGATTGCTATCCTGAAGTCTTATTTTACAGTATAGAATTGGGATGGGGTGTTATGGAGGATGGAAAGCATTTTAAACCTCTTTTTGGTTCTCTGGTGTTTGCTCCCATTTATTGAATAAAAGATTGATGGATGCAGTAGAAGTAGAATTGTTTTTGAAATATTTCTCAAGTTATTAAGTTTATATAAAATATATTATTTTTCAATGTTCTAGAAAATCTTTTAGCAATAGACAAGTGTTCTGCAATTTAGAATAGAAAATTTGACTATTTGCTTTCCAATAAAAGAAATTTTTTTCACAGTCCCTCTTTTTACATCTTTGGTACACATAATAATAATCCTTGCATTTGATATAGTGCCTTATCACGTCTTTGAGATGGCTCAAAGCGCTTCACAGAATATACTGAATTTTGTCAGCAAAACGCAGCAGCCAATTGTGCCAGCAGTGTCCCACAAACAGTAGTGGATTGAGTGACCACATTTTTATTTAAGGGATCATTACCCCCGGAAAAGCGAGCTGCCCGTCGACTAACAACCGGGTTCCTACTTACAGAGGCAATGATACTTTTACTTATAAATGTTCTTAAGTGAATAAACTACTGGGTAGAATATTAAATGAAATAATTTGATAGAGCATTAATAATAAAAATATATTCTATGATCAAAATTTTTTTTAAATATTTTTTTCGTCTGGATGATAGGAAAAGTAGTAAACAGTAAGGAGGATAGTAGCAGATTGCAAGAGGACATAGACAGATTGGTAAAATGTTTCTTACTGTATATTATCAAGAAGTGAACAATTCACTTGGTGTGTCCTGCATTTGTGTCTAAAGATCGCACTATTTAAACAAATTTAATCGCACTATAAGATGAGCAGATTCTTGGCAGATGAAGTGTAATGTGGAGAAATGTAAAGTGATGCATTTTGGGAGGAAGAATGAGGAGAGACAAAATAAGCTAATGGTAGAATCTTAAAGGGGTGAAGGAATAGAGAGACCTGGGGGTTCATATAGGTAAATCTTTGAGTGTGATAGGACAGATAAAACTGTTAAAAAAGCATACAGGATGCTGAGCTTTATAAATAGGGGCATAGAATACAAAAGTCAGGAAGTTATAATTAACCTTTATAAAACACTGCTTAGGCCTCAACTAGAGTACTGTGTTTAGTTTTGGGCACCATTCTTTAGGAAGGATGTCAAGGCATTGGAGGGTCTAACGGAGATTTACCAACATGGTACCAGGAATGAAGGACCTTAGTGATCAGGAGAGGCTAGAGAAGCTAGGATTATTCTCCTTGGAGCAGAGAAGTTAAGAGGAGACAATAGATGTTTTCAAAATGATGAGGGGATTTGATAGGGTGAACAAGGAGAAACTATTTCCCTGTGGGTGGGTCGGTAACCCAAGGACACTGATGTAAAATAGTTGTTAAAAGAAACGGGAGATGAGAATTTTTTTTACACAGCGAGTTGTTCAGATCTGGAATACATTGCCTGAAAGGGTGGTGGAAGCCTATTTGCTAACAACTTTTAAGGGAGAAGTAGATAATTATTTGGGGAGGACAAGTTTGCAGGACTACAGTGAGAGAGTGGGAGAATGGGATTGATTTGCATAGCTCGTTTGAAAGGGCTGGCACAGACACAATGGGTCTCTTGTGCTGTATGATTCTATGATAGAGTTTCTAGTCTGGCTCAGTTGAAAACTTTTCTCTTGGACTATGATCAAGAATTCAATCTTGTCAACCAAATTAAGATTTTTTGTCAAACTAGTGAATATTTAATAGACTCTGGGTAATATATGTACATTTATCTGTTGAACTAGATGGACAAGGAAGCGGCACATAATAATAGCATTCCTGATGAGCCCAAATTACTTGAGACTATTAGACGCTTGGATGGAATGGTAGAAAATATGGAAAAAATATATGGTAACGACGATTAATAAATTAACAATTTGCATTTACATAGCATATTTCAAGTAAACATTCTCTACATTTTGCAATATATAATGAATTAGAAATGAAGGGACATGATTTAGTCAGCTAGGTGTCTTAACGGAATATAAGGTGTTTTAAAGTCAAAGAATGCATAAGAATACTATACAGTAAAACTCACAACTCGTATCAGTTGGGATCATAATATTTAATATGACATACACAAAGTCTGGGTTGGAGGCAAACTAAATTGTATAAAATATGATTTAATCAATACTCTGCACGGTGTACTTCAACACAGCTGATAAATGCCCATGTGGTGACAGGGCAAGACTGTTTCCCACAATTCAGGGCAGCCGGCCAGTAAATGCATTTGCTTCAAAGGGTCAGAATGTCATTTTCCACGATTCAGTGCAGCCGCTAAGTGGGAGTCAGCAAAATTAAATGAAGGATAGGGGAGCGGCGATACGAGTTAGGATGTGATAAATAGCCCAAGTGCAAAGAAATCTAAGTGGTTTTGATAGGAAACTGAATGTACTAAGTGTGGATGTACGACTTAGGTGATTCTATTAGCAGATGAAAGTTTTGTTAGTCAAGAAATATTGTAAGTTTTGCTGCTAATGAATGGATGTTAGTTTTTGGGAAAATAGAAAACTTTCCAACTATGAGATATATCAGTACATCAGTAGTTCATAATGATATGCCTGGGCCCAGTTGGTTGCATTCTCTTTTGGGATAGAAGGCTGTTGGTTCAAACTCCACATTAGGACTTACGTTATTAAGAATAGAGAAGGGAGTTGCTCCCGGTGTCCTGGCCAACAGTGTTTCAAATAAATAGGTCATTCACTTCATTGGTTTTTGCGTGACTGTGCTAAATGAAAAATGGCTACCTATTTGTCCATAATTATTGTGAAGTGCTTAGAGATAATTCAGTGCTTTAGATACTAGGTCAAATAATCAATCAGTAATACTTCAAACTAATCATGATTTTAATGTGCTATTTTGATATCTGTATTGCAGAGCAAACGCAGATTCTCCTGTGCGACCTGACTCTTTGCTTCATTTCTGAAAAGAGTGAAGTTCTCAAACAAGTTACAGAAAGTTATGTTCATGCTAAAGAAATAACAGATAAGAACCAACTTTAAGAAAATTAAAATATTCCATTTTACTCATCCTTAATTTTTAATATGGACAGTATGTTAAACCCTCGTTGGTTTGTGATGATATGACATTGGATAAAGGCATGGAAATCTACTGTGCCACAAGTCAGCCATTAGATCAGTTATTTGAATATATAGTGCATGTGCTTTGATAGAATTTTAAGAACACGCTTGCCATCTAATGGGACAGGAAATTTGTTTCTTACGTCTCAACAACATGATAAGGTGCTATATCAAGTGCAAGGATTATTATTACTGGAACATTGAGGTAAGATTAATTGTAATAATAATGGTAATCCTTGCATTTGATTGAGCGTTTTTCACATCTTCTAGATGTCTCAAAGCGCTTCATAGAATATGCTGTAAAGTGAATTGACTATATTTTGTGAGCAAGACGCAGCAGCCAAACAATGTCCCACAAACAGTCGTGGATTGCATGACCAAATTATTATTTTTTTTGTAGCATTGCTTGCGTTAAGGAAATAATACTTGATAACTAACTAGTAAGTGGAGACTAACTCTCTCGGGGTAACTGGAATTTCTCTCCTTTTTTAAAATTGTACACTTTTGAAATTTCATTTTTTCATCATCAGGATGACTTTCATTAAATGACTTTTAAGAGATCGCCCTAGCCTTTGAGATCATTTTAAAGTTATGATTGGCCCAGAGAAAAAGTGGATTTCTCTACTCCTCAGCTGATCTAGCCCAGAAAACACAGAAAAATTAAAAGACTACCAATTACATTGAAGAAATTGTGCACTTCAAAACCAAAAGTTGTCAGGCAAACTGGAAGACAATTCCAGTAGCCTTGAAAGGGGTGCTCCACCTGCTGGTGTTTAAGGAACATTCCTTATTTAATACAAGTAATGCTTTAAAAAGACTACAATTTTTACCCATTGTTTTGAATGTATGCTTTCCAGCCACTTAATTGTACAAGTTTAATAAAAGCAATTTCTATTTAAGAGCCGAGTGCATTATCCTTGTAAACGGATTTCTTCTTGCTAATATGTACCATGCTAGATTCATATTGAGAAAAAACTTTTCATAATTCTTTAGTTGCACTAATATTAGAAAATTGTTTAACGCTTTGATTTAACTCTAAA